ACAAAATACTTTTTAGAATAAAGATATTTGTTCGACATTTGAGAGGAATATGTTGGATAAAGATGTTACATTCTGCATAGAGCTGATTTTGTTATTGGGAGAGGGACAGTATTTTGGCCTTTTTTTTTTCTTTTTTTTTACCAAGAACTATACAAATCTAACGATATATTTAACTTGCTGACACATTACTTTAAAAATTTTAGATTTTTTTCTTTCTTTTCTTTCTTTCTTTTTATTTTCCATTACAAGTACATTTTGGTCTCCTTAGAAAAAATTCTGAATAGTTTTACAAACCAACTCTAAATAGGAGATACTATTGGTTATATGTGTTGTTTTCCCTGCATCCTGACACAGCAGTAGATCCATAGTCAGTGTTGGAACAGCAGTCATACGACTTAAGGTGCTTTTCCTTAAAACTCATAGAGCAGATGAGATGTTGTGCTTCACGAGTATTTCACATCCCGTTTGATGAATGCAATGACTTCATCCTCTTACTCTAAAGATGCAAGGAGCAGCAGAGAGGGGGAGAAGCAGAGGCCATGTCACACTAATGGACTGCACCCTAACTCGTGGTTTGATCATGTTGCATGTGGCCTGGTAACAAGTGACCTTGTATTTGGATGCTTTTACTAACCTCATTCATACAAGCCTGACCTTAATCTTTTACTACCATCTAACACTGACCACATACTGTATGACCTCTCTGTGCTTATACATGCATCATAAAAAATATTGCTTGATTTAGATTGAGTAACATTATATTAGTCATTGAATTTGTGTGTTATAGCATGTAGCTGCCTGTCATGTCTGAGCATAATGTTATTGTTCTGCTTGTAAAAATGAAACAAAATGCTTTTATTGTTAAACCAGTTCCAGCTAAGAACCATTTTGTCTTTACCATGGTAACACTGCTACTTCACTGATTCATTTATCTTCAACGGAGGAGAGTAAAAATGAGGTATTTCCTTTGACTGATCCAATAACGACAGAATCACATCTTTGGGACTGTGGGCAACCAAAGGTGCTGGGTCATGAAATATGAGCCTGTATCGTCAGCTATAAGACCGAGTCATTCAGCAGCCAAGCTGAACCCTCAGCAAAGCCTAGCTGAGCTTAAAATGAACTGTGGCATTAAATTAGAAGAGCAACAACCTTTTAAAATGTCTCACTGGGTAATTGAGTTTTGTAATGCAAGATAAAGCAACCCAATATAAATATATATTTTTAGCCTGGGATTATCACAGTTCCCCTCTGATACTATTCAGTTTTTAAATGTAGCTTTCTTCAATTTCTTTGGAATTATTTGTTTTGGGGACAAAATATTTTATGAGCTCATCTATTCACACACCTTGCATCCTGCTAATATGTGACTGTATATTTGTATTTGAGGGGCTGTTTATAGAGTGCAGCAAGTATTCAGTAGTAGTGATGTAGTAGTAGCAATTAGAGTGTTCACCTGCTGTGAATGGTTATTTGTTATTATGAATAGTAATTTCACTTTTAATCACATGGTAGATGTGACAGTGAATCCTGTGTTGGATGAACAGATACATGTTACATGTTATACCTCTGTTACACCTAAATTAGCAGCTATCTACAGATTTAAATCCCACTATAAAAGCCTATTGACTTAGGAGTTTGCTTTCCTTTTCTTTTCCTTGATGCGTCATGTTTGACGTCACAAATGCACCAAAAACTGAAGTGCTCACTCTCTCGCTCACTCATGTTTCCATCACTGCTGATCAGAGCTGTAGATGATAAAAACCAGTGTCTAAGGAGGGAATGATTGACAATTGTATCCATCCCCAGTGCAGACAAAAGCCAGATAATGGTGGGTGTTAGTGGGTTGTTTGACCTGTGGAAAAGGGATTTTACAAGGAGATTGGTTTGGTAGTGATGTAAAATCTTCATTAATTAATGGTGGCATATACAGTAACTGTGAAACACAGTTTCAGTATGACATTGTCCAGATATTATGATCAGAATCATAATGCAAGACAATCATCATTGTCCTCAAGTCTTTTAAGTACCATGCTCACCTTACTTTGCTACCTCACTACATTTCACCTACACTCCAAACCAGCTAGAATGCAGCGAGGTTTAATGCATCTAAACAAATAACCAGCTGGTACATATTTAAATAACAGTTCAGTATATTTCAAAGCTGTGATTGAAATGTAAATCATTTGAGAAATAAATGATCATGAAGGTTACAGCCTACCACAATTTGAGAGCTAAATTAAGATGTAGATGATATTACCTCATCATATAGGCAAAATGGCCGTGCTAATTAAATTAAAATGAGAAAACTACATGAAGCTCAGATGAATTTTTCTGAAAATATCATTCACAAGCTGTACTTCTATATTAAGCTTTGTTGTATCTCATCTTTTCCAAACGTATTATTCATATTTCAAATGGTCCATGATTAATCATTCATTCACTGTAGGGAGTTGATTAAGTGTCTGATGTAAACCATGCAACAATAAATGTTATCCTTGGAAATGCAACGATAACAGGCACCAAATGTCTGTTTTATGATGATTGTTTATTCACAGACAGTGAGCAAGGAATGATGTACAAGATACATTCTCTCCATATGAAACCTCTGCTGCTCTTTGCTTGACTGGTGCCTTCATCCACCAGGAGGACAGGAGCTTTCTGCTGCCTTCCACTCTTCCTTTTATAACATAGACAAAATGTCAATTCATTCTGCAGGGCATCAAAACTAGAGTGCTGTGTAACCAGAAGATGTCTTAGTCTTGCAAGGTTGCAACTAGGATGGTTGAAGGTGATGGGAGGGACGATTAGAGGGAGATCAGTTTCTGTGCTCATGTAAATTTATGTTGTGGAAGCCCAGTTTAGCATAACATGTTGTGTGTTTGTACATACAGTAATTATTGGCTTGTTAGAGTCTAGCTGGAACCACCAAGTGTGTGTTAAAGCCAGAAACTCTAAGTGTCGGATAGGAGGCTGGATTTGTTGACAGTGAGAAAGTAAATGACATACTGAAGTAGAGGACAAATGCTTGTTATGCATCTACAAAGGCTCAAAGAAAAGGACATTGAGTGCACACTGCCATCAATGACTCTGCTTCTTTATGTGCCTGAAATTGATACTCATTTGTGCCTGTAGTTGATGTTCAATTCATTCACCAACAGATGGCAGTGTGCTGCTACTACATTAATGATAATACTGTTCTTTGTCATCCTCTGAAAAACTCTGATTTCTGTTTAGTTTCTAAATCAGTCCTGTTTGACTCTGAGAAGAATCACTCCTGTCATCATTCAGTAGGTTTCTCTCCCACCACTGTTTCTCCATGTAGACACCAATTCAGTTGTAAACTACACAATATTTTCATCTGGGGTACAATGAGCCAAATCTTGAATTCGTAGTCTGTGGCCCTAAAGTATGTTTATTTCCAAGTCTGTGCCTTAATGCATTCTTTTATGTGTGTTTTTATGTGTAAGAGAGAGAAAAAGAAAGAGCCTGTGTGTGAGTGTGAGAAAGCAGTCAGGTTCCCTCTCCGTCAGAACTGAATTGGGGACAAGTGATCCTAAGTAGAGCACCATCCCCCTGTGGAGCTCCAGCAGTCTTTGAGCTCTGTTTCCTGAGAAAAGCATCACTGAGGCTTCCATCAACACACCGTGCGACCGTTGTCCACTTCTCTGTCCTCCACCATCTGAGCTTAAGATGTTGAGACCCACTGACTCCCCCGAGTTGATGTACTATCTGAACTGTTTCTACAGGGAACCCAGGAAGGTCGTGCTCCACAAAGGTTCCACAGGCCTCGGCTTCAATATTGTGGGCGGTGAGGATGGCGAGGGAATCTTTGTCTCCTTCATCCTGGCCGGAGGGCCTGCCGATCTGAGTGGAGAGCTGCGGCGAGGCGACCAGATCTTATCGGTGAGTGCGCAAGAACCACGTCAGCAGCACACGCATGTTCGAAGAAAATGTTAAGTGAATAACCATACATGTTACTGTCTGGATTTGGAGAAGCATTGTACAACCGCTCAAATTAACTATAGATTACAGATCTGCTTACCTGGTGATAAAAAGTCTTTATATGGAAAGACCCAAAAAATAAAATGAATATAATCTAAGCTATAATTTCAAAACAGTGGACTGTGTGATTCCACTGAGTAACCTGTGTGTTCCCCAGCATATTAAGTGTAATGGTCCTACTGGCCCAGATTCATTTTCAGGATCACACACAACAACCTGGTCTTTTATTTTTCTATCCCTGCATTTCTCCAGTATTATGACTGAGGTGTGGTATATCTATGGTTCGTAACTGTACATAGATTGTAACAACAATCCACTGTGGCCTGGGTATCCCAATTACTTTAGCTCTTTCGGAACTGAAACAATTATTTGATTAGTCAATTATTTAAAATGAATCTGCAACAATTTGGGTAAGCAATTAATGCTTCCGGTAATGTTAGTCCAATGTGAGGTTTTTCTACTTTTGTGTCTTGTATATACACAATTTAAGAGTGTAAATGAAATATATTTGGACCTTGTACTGATCAGATTAATGGCCAGGGGTCATCATCTGTGAAGTTATACTGTAGGTGAATTTCAGTCCTGAAATGTAATAACTGAAACACAGTTTAGTCAGTTTTAAGTTGCCTCAAAGAACACTATTGTTTAACTACTTCAATTTGTGTCTAGATGTGTTGTGTGAAGGAAATCTTTAATGAAGTCCTCATATAACACATCTACTTACTAAAGGCACATGTAAGATTCTGTACTTCATCTGGGCAGCATTTCCTTTCCAAAAACTTGATATTACATGCTATGATCAAACTTGCTTACTGTAACATTAAAAAATTAAGGTGATACTAGATTGACAGACTGGTTTAAGCATATGAAAGCACAAATTTTCTGCCTAATGTAATTGTGCTCTGATTTACTCCGTTGAAAATTTATCGTATCAGGCCTTATTTTGGCTTCTAAGAATAAATCCTGTGATTAATATGATTTATCTTTTAAAATAGCCCCAGTTATAGAAAAAACACTCCTGGTTTTAAGGTTACAGTCTTTTGTTATGAGAGGATACCGTGAGGTAGGGTTGCTACAATCACTTTGAATGAGTCCAATGCTAATAATGTAATACTGTTAAAGCAGCAGCTCTTACTCATCCTGCATTGTGTGGTTGGCTGTGTTCACGAGTGCCGTGTCACAAGTAACAATAATCAAAGTATGATGATGACTGACTGAGGTAATGAACAGTTTACACTGTGGACAGTAGCACGCAGGAATTGATTGTTCTCCCTCATTATAGCTAATTGTAATAGCTTGCCTCCCACACTGATGCCACTCTCTTCAACAGATTACACTTTCTATTTCACTTCAGTGTCTCGCTATTGTAAAGCCCAGAGAAAATCTAATCAGCATGGCACTATCTGGCTGTTCACTTGCATCCAATCAGCACCACGGTCTGCCTTGGTGAAAGCAGCCAGTTAGCATTCCAACAGTGGCCTGGATTTGAAGTCTAACAATAACCTGACCTGTCTCTTCCCACCTATTGAGCACACACTCCTCCGTCTCTGCACACGCTATGTTCTTATTCTGTGGCTCTTTGAATTTACACTTGGGCTCTTTAGTCTGTTGCCATTGTTCAATCAAGACAACACACCAAGTGTTGTGGGAAAGGCGTGTGAGGATGAATTGATTGTTTTTACATACGTCTTTTCCAGTCTTATTGACTACTCAAAGCACTTTACAGTACAAGTCACATTACACGCATTTACACACACATTTCTATATTCAGTGTCTTTTCTTTTTTACACCATTACTACCAGCACAGCCATCAGAAGCAATTAGGGCTTCAGTATCCTGCCTAGGGACACTTTGGAATGCAGAATGTGGGAGTCAGGGATTGAACCATGTTACGGCTCTGAATCATATTGTGTGTGTGTGTGTCCAATCTTCTGTTTAGTGGATGACCCTCTCGGTTTTCCCTCTGTTGGAATATAGATGTGGTTAGTACAGCAACTCTAGCGATAATGTGACACAGGGGAACACTTGTTATGGTACTTTAATATAAGATGCAGAGAAAAATAGATTTAATCAGTGTCTTTAAAGATGAGAATTCAAGAATAATATTCTCACTATCATCGTGAAGTGTTTAGGTGCATCCATTCATAAACACAAAGACAGATGCATTATGATTCTGATCACAATATCTGGACAATGTCATACCGAAAGGATAAATAAGTACAATATAAAATTCAAACCTACAATCAGTGTTTCACAGTTACTGTATATGCCACCATTGAGTCCAAGTGAACATTTTTGGCAATTCAGAAATTCCCTCAAAGCGTGAGAATGAGCTCATTGATGAGACAGATGGACAGACAATCTGAAAAGTGAATGCCTCTGGCCACAGCTGTCACTGGCATGGAGGCATACAGATTAACATAAAATGAATTGCATATGTTGTTCAGTTTAAATAATACAGTGTATATATAACAATAATCCTGTGAATTTTTCACTTTGTCAAAACAGGTAAATGGCATCGACCTACGAGGGGCCACACATGAACAAGCAGCAGCAGCACTGAAAGGAGCGGGACAGGTGGTCACCATCTTTGCCCAGTACAGACCAGAGGGTGAGTCAGGACAAATAAGTGACTGTATCAACTGGAGCCCTGTGGTTTAAATGTCCTGTTTAACAGTAAAGATATACACAGGGCAATAGTGACACTGGTGTCATCCACCCTGCGCAATTATTATCCGACCAAGTGATGTATCGATACTACCAAGCTCTATCAAGAATTTAAGTTCTGTTCACTATTCAAAAAGCAGCCCACAGGATTGTCTCTCCACATGTCGTGAAGACTGTCAGGAGAGAAAAAAATAGAATCACCACACTGTGGTTGCTTGCCTATACGTCACAGTGCAGTTCTGTCCACACATTATTTTCTAGATTCATATAAGGTCACTGTGACCTTTACCTTTGAAGAAATGTGAGGCGACTGTGATCTTTGCCGTCAACCTTTGAGCTACAACTGATTAAAAGTTGAAGAAATCTGCAGGAGCAACAATATATCTGAGTGAAAGCACACAGTTTGAGCAGAAGCAGAGCAAGTTTAAGTGTAAGCAGGAGCTATTCGACTGCAAGGGCAGGGTTTTGATGAAAAAAAACACACAATCTGATCATAAATTAAACAAGTTGTGCTCAAACTGATAGACCACACTCTTGAATAAAATCCATATTTTCTGTAGAAAGCTTATTCACAAGACAAACATGTATTTCGAGAGGTCACAGTGACCTTGACCTCTGACCACCAAATTCTAATCAGGTCATCCATAAGTGAATTGTGTCAGATGTCATGAAAATACCTTCAGTCATTCCTGCCATATCGCAGGCACAACAGCATGGGGCCTTTGGCTTCCAAAATCTGATCTGTTCATTCTTGAATCCAAGTGAATGTCAGTGCCAAATTTGAAGAAAGTCCCTCAAGGCACTCTTGAGATGCATCGTTCACAAGAATGGGATGGACGGATGGACGAACAACCCAAAAACATTATACCTCCGGCCAATGGCTGTCAGAAGGCCAGAGACATATAAATGTAGTTTTCATAAAAACTAAATGGTTTGTTCCAATTTGTTGGAAATGGCTTTACTCATTTTCAGTAAGATGCTGCTTACACACTATACTTTCTGTGTTCTGCCCTCATAAACTTGCAGGAAACCCTTTCTTCCCTTTGTCCCTTCTTTTCACCTCACAAGTGCAGGGATTTGACTCCAATGGACACTTACATAGTTGTCTTACAGATGAGATTTGGATTAAAAGTATAGTTTGGATTATTTGAAGTGGGGTTGTTTTTGGTACTTATTTTCTGCCGTAGAATTATGAGGTCATGCTCAAAGTTTGGTACAGCTGTGGACTTAGCCAGCAGTGAAAATGCTCATTTGAAATTTTAGCCACTTAAAAAAATGTCCACCTAAAAAAAGGAAATCAGTTTAAGTGTAGTCTATAAATTGAATATTCTTCACCACTTCATCTGCCCTCTTCTTTGGCACTGCATTTTTAACTGTTGTACTTCTCTATTCCCATACATAAGATCATTCACTGCTCACTGAATTATGTAGCAGCTGCTGATCAGCTTGCACCAGACAGAGCTGAACTTCACTTGTGTTAAGATTTCAAAGATGGTGTGAGTTGGTGTTTTTCTTGGCTGATCGAACAAAGGAGTGTCTTTGTCACCAGGTTCTGTTGAGTTGTGGCTTTTTGCAATGACTTGCGCAATGTTGTTTGCAGTCCTCACTTTTCTGATAAGGATTATGGAAAACCACCACTAAATAAGAAAACATCTATACATGCTGAAGGGCAAATAAATTCCCCACAATTTGACAAGCATGCTCTTTATGTCCAAAATTGGGACATTATTGCCCGTCACAGAATATATGTCATCAATCAGTTGACCACACATATTTGGAGATGAGATTCATCCCTCATATAATCACCACATGGTGACATGTGTCTCATTTAGTCCATGTATTTAGGTCGCTGTTGGCAAAGTCCATCAGTGGCTTTAGATTTTGTGATTCCAGCTTAGTTGGCTAAATAAAAGTTTGCTATGTTGATAAGACTGTTGCCTGTGACTCTTTGGATGTCTAAGACTCCGTCATAATGTTACAATTTAGTGAGAACCAAGCACAAATTAACTTAGGGTCCTCTGGTCTGGGACGGGTTTTTTTTCCAATTTAGCTTCAGGAATGAGAAGGTGTGCCAGATGTAATGTGAGGCACTGGTATCCTTCCATTCAGAAACATCCTGAACAAGTCCCACTCATAGCAGCAGTAGCTCTCTGGGTCCTTGAGCATTGATCACAGTTCACACACCTGCACCCCAGGTGGCTTGGGCTCTTTCTTGGGCCCACACTGAACACCATCTCATCATCACTGTCAAAATCACTCAATTTATTTTCTTTTGTCTTCTTTTTCTCAAACCACTGGAACTATGACCAAAACAGCTGATGTGCAGCTTACATTACTGCATAGAGTAGATGCACTTATGTGTATGAATACACATGGTCGATATATTGTAGTGCCAAAGAAAAGTGCTGTTTGATGTTATTGCTGCTGGCCCGGTCCACAGCAGTAAGCAGTACTCAGTAATCCCGCCTCCATCTCCTAACTGGGACCACGCCAACTCGAATCTACTGCAGGTAATAAACTGACTATGGATGAGTACCTCATATGACCCCACTATAAATAATCCAAACTATGCCCCCTTAAGTGTCAAGGTGACACTTCACTTTTGTCTGATACTACCTTCAAAATAAAAGCACCAGGAGCCACAGTGAAAGCATCCATCAGCAGAAATCTAAAACTATTATCTAAAATAGATATATAAACATGTATATATATATATATACAACCAAGCTGGCCTCTGGGGATTTCAATTTTTTGAATGGATGATAAAGGGAAGTAGTTTGAGTTGAGTGGATTAACAGCACAACTTAATGACACAACAAGTGTTATCCTAATTCATTGTCTTCAAATGGTAAGGTTGCCAAACATTACATGTTGTCTTTTCTGGTATTTTCTACTCTACAAGTAAATCAGTTTTTTTTACTGATACATTTTCTTAAAAACAGCATTAATTATATTTTCTGATTTAAAAAAAACATCCTGTTTGTATAAATCTATTGTGTTTGTGGTTTGTTTGCTTTATACAATTAGCATGTAATTTGAAATAATCAAGGCCGGACATGGTCATGCCAATTCAGATCTACCACAGACTGCCTGCCAACCTTCTGTGAGTTGACATGCAATGGATCAGACAGCTTTGAGAGGTGGCATGTCTACTCTGGTTAGGGTCAACAACAGTGGTATCTACTCTAGGGCTGCAGACGCAGTGACTGTTGGTTGACGACTTCTCGATGTCTCTGAGGTGACAAACTCACAAACTGTCACAAACAGTATAACCTTGTTATACTGAGAGCAGTGGTGGGTGTTTGTGTTCCATTCAAGCAGCTCATATTGCTCATATTTATTTCCATATTAATGCAGAGAACATTGATCAGACTGGAAATAATGGCATCATCTGAAATCAAGAGTCTTTTTTAATTTAGGGGTGATTTTGAAATCCCAAATCTCCCATCTGAGGTGACATCTTGGGCTCTGAACTCCTCTGGGACTAACAAGTGCTTTTTCTTCTCACTCATCAGAACTTGCTCTTTGCTCACCACGACGGGCCCACTCTCCTGCTCCAGGTCTGTGCCACTGGCACCTGTTGCTGCTCTGAGCTTAAGCATCATTCACCAGGGCTCGGCTAAGTGAGAGTCACTGAGTGAATATGATCACAGACAGCCTGTTCACTCCCACCAAAGTGCACCTGATCCTAACCTGTCCTAACCCGTTTGACTCTCACTCCCCCACACTATTTCCACCCTTTACCTTTTGTTCCTGTGCTCCCAGGTTGTGACCTTCCAAACTCTGTCCTCTCTTCTTCCCCTGTGAAAGTGTGTTTTTAATTCATGTGCTGTGTTTTGAGGAGGTTATTAGCACAGTACTCTTGTGTTGCAGCTCAGTGTAAATACAAACTGCCCACCAGTAATCCTATTCATTCTTGTGAATATCAGACTTTTCAAGACTTTTGCCTTCAGAAACAGCAAAGAGCAGACAGTGCTGGGTGCCATGATGCTGTATCACACTCACTTATGCATCTTTTGAATATGAGATGGTGTTCATTGGTTACTGTTGCAAAATATCATGGTGTCCAACATGGTAATGGAATGCTTTTAGATTAAGGAAGAATGTATTCTTCTTTAGTAGTTAGCAGCAGAAGTTGGACAGTTCTGTAGATACAAGCCAGACAAGCTGAAGCAGGGATGAGGAACCTTTTTCATTTCAAGGGTGAATTCAATTTTTATAACATCCTTCAAAGTCCTTACTAAATTATTGAATACATATTTCACACTAACCTCCCTAATGCAATGGCTGGAACTGCCTCTCCTTGTTGAGGCATCTGATGTCAAATGGTACATTTTTGATTTCATGTCTGTTATGAATGGGATACTCAGGATGCACAGATGGTTTAAACAGCTTGAGCAGAGAGAGGTTGTTGTACCTACTGTAGCTTTGCAGCTAAATGACAAACAAATGAACAACAGAAAACACGCCAAAAAGAAAGACTTGTCCTCTGTCTGTAATATACTGTGATATCAGTAACCTGCTCTGCTCGACTCATTGAGATCTGGCAATCCTGTGGCTCTTAATTGTTCTGAATATCTTTTAGTGTGAAGATGGGAAAAGTTGCTTCAGAAAAACAAAAATTAAAGAACACCTGCAATAGCCAGTGGCCATTTTTCACAACCAAATCCCAGAACGTCCTCTTTAATCACTAGCTAAGAACCAGTACCTTGTTTGTGATATATCTGACTATACATGGTCAGACAAAGTAAAAGGGAGAAGGCTTTTCAAGTAAAGGAGTGACTGATAAGACTAACGGACATGGTTTAAAAACAGTTATCCTGTTTGTACATCCGTTTACACTTGTCCCCGCCCCTGAGCTGCTTATAAGCAATGACAGGGGGGAGAGGGAGAGAGGTGTTTCCCTTTCACTACTTAGTGCCGCACTCAGCTCAGTCACAGAAATGGACTGTGTGTAGAGAACAGAGAGAAGGACCACAAGGGGAACACAGTGTAAGGAGGAGACCACAGCCATAGAAGATTAACCATCAAAGTAAACATACAGACAGGTATGTGCGATGTGATTTAGATTAAGACTGGCAGAGAAAAGAAAATGATTTAAGTTTAGATTGTGATTTTGCATTTTGTTGCAGGTGATGTCTTCATTTCATCATTTTATGTGCTCAGCCCTTTTATGTCTTTGGTAGCCTATCTCAAATAATGAAGAAGCACATAGGAGAGTTTCCATAGTGTGGCAGCTTGTAGGCTTTTAACTGTAAAACATGGTTTCTTGCAAAACAATACTGAAAATACGGTAGAATCTGAATATATTTGGTGATTTAAGCACAATTTTGTTCGTAGTAAATATTCCTTTTCTTTTCTTCTTAGACAGGGTGTATAGTCAGTAGTTGGCTGTGTCAATTCAACTCTATTTACTGGACAATCTGTAAGTGACAGATAAGCGAGCCATGCCTCAAGACCTCAGTTTGTTTTATCATCACTGTAACTGTGCTGTCAGGCAGAGCATACTTGTCACCAGAGTCACAGCTTTTCATCCTGTTACTCTGCTGGTTCAGTTCATGGAGTCACATGGCACTGACTGCATGGCGGGTCATGCAAAGTGCATTGATGTAAACAAAAGAAATAAAGGCTTTGTGTATCATTAGTATAAATGTAGCAACAGAGAGCTGCTTGAGTCTCAAATATATTCCCTCTACATGATTCTATTCATGTGTTCGGGGGGTTATACTCAGCTATGGACTTAAAGAAATAAAATCTGCCTGCAGTACACTGTGTTGAGTTTACAGTGAAAATGATACACACATGTTTTATGAGCAAATGTTCTTTGAGTGCACCTCCTCTGTTTATTTCTGCTGGGAGAATAATCATGAATTCATCATCAAGTTCTTCTTCATGTAAGAGGAGACACACTCAGTTTTAGTAGCATCATTAGGTCGACCTCCTCTTCTCCACACACTGGAGTTGGAATGTAGACCTGACTGTCACTCTTGATCCATTCTAATCTTGTTTTACAGAGTATGGGCGTTTCGAGGCCAAAATCCATGACCTGCGGGAACAGATGATGAACCACAGCATGAGCTCTGGGTCAGGATCCCTCAGAACCAATCAAAAGAGATCGCTCTATGTGAGGTTGGTCTGTCCTGGATTTTACCCTAGTTTTTAGATGTTCAAGCCGAATTCAGACAATTTAGAAAATAAAAAGCCACTTCATGCCTCCAATTTCCTCCATGTGAGGTCATCTCTGATTTACTTCAACACCATGATAAAATCAGAATACTATATTTTACTTTTCATGCAAATGACCGAGAAAGGGGTTAAAAGAATGCTACTCAGGATATTTCTTTGGTGTTTGGTGTTTTTGCTGAATGCGAAGAGCGACACACATATGCATGTAAAACCCTGGTTTAAGATAAGTGCCTTAAATATTTGTCATTCTAGCAGCTGCTATAGAGCAAGCAGTCACTATTCTCTCTGTCCTGGTAAGCTTTGACACGATTCGTTAAACTAAATGAGACAAGAACTGACAAGGAGGAACAATGGTGGAACTAATTCAGTGCATTTGCGTTAAAAGCCCTGTGTGTAAGATTTAGGTGAAAGGGAACTATTGGCAAATATTTAATGTAGAATAATCCTCATGATGTTTTCACTAGTTCCTTTCATCTAAATTGTATGAATTGTAGTTTTCTTTAACCCAGAAAAGGCCTTTTATATTTAAATACTTTATATTTACATCGAGGGAGGCAGCCATGTTTTTTACATTAGTCCAGACTGGACAAACTAAACACCTTTTGAGTTTTTATGACAACTGAAGCTACCACAGGTTCTTTTTCATGTTTGGAAGGAGAGGGTGAGGTGAGGGGTGTTCAGCTGAAACATGCAATTTCAACACTAGATATCACTAAATTCTACACACTGTACCTTTAATAAGACTGATGGCCCTGTTATCTCCCACTGAATAGAGCACTGTTTGACTATGAGAGGTCAAAGGACAGCGGCCTTCCCAGCCAGGGGCTCAGCTTCAGGTATGGGGACATCCTCCACGTCATCAATGCCTCAGATGACGAGTGGTGGCAGGCCCGCCGCGTCACCCCTCATGGGGACAGTGAGGAAATGGGTGTCATCCCCAGCAAGAGACGGTGAGCAGCAGATAAACATGTTTCTGGCTGAGGGAATTCTAAAAGCTTGTTGATGATTTGTAAGAATTATAATGATTATGTATTTCTAATAGAGGAATATAATTAGGAAAAAGGGTCTCTGTGATTGAGAAGGAAAAAATCATGTGATGAGACACAGACATCAGCGTTTTGATGTTCCTCTGTGAAGGTTTTATTTAATGAAGAGAAAGACTGTCATTACGAGCAGCCTTAGTGTCCCTTCACCCAATGGGAAAAAAGGAAAAATATGACCTTACACACGTTTAGAGGATTAGTCTAATTCAGTGCAAAATGAGACCATCACTTAATTGCTGGCACACATGAGACTAGTTATTGGTATTTTTCTAGATCCTCTGTAGTCATCAGTGATGTTTGAGAAGAGCAGAAATTCAAGTGTTGGGCACTTGTTCTCAAACAAGTGTAGTGTGAGCAGGATCGGTTTCATCTCATCTCTGTGGTTGACGACTGACAAAGCTCTTCACTTGGCAGGGTGGAGAGGAAAGAGCGGGCACGTCTAAAGACTGTGAAATTCAATGCCAAGCCAGGGTCATTTGATTCCAAAGGGGTAAGTGCCTTTATGAGATCTGCCAAGTGGCAATTTTTTATGACCACATTAATTTGATGATTCATGGTGCAGCTCAAATGTAACAGTGAGCTTCCTGTGCAAAAGAAAATGTTATTTTTTAAGTCTTTAGACCGAGTGTATGGCTTCCTGATTAACCACATCTGCACTGTCAGATGTTTGTTCTTTAGCTCTAATGTTCTCCCTGCAGTTTGATATTCACAAATTATTCTGAAAAGTGAGAGATTTCATTGATTCAGCTGAGAACATCAGCCAGTTTCACCATGTGTGTCTATAGAGCACATCCATCAGACATGAGCCAGTAGCACATTTCTATAAGCCATGTGATGACAACAAGAAGCCAGTTTCCTCTTTCTAGTGTTCATTTAAAGAGATACAAATGAGGGGGAAACTATTTGTTAGACCTCCTTTTGGTATTCACTGATTTTAAACTTCCAGAGGTCAAACTTTTTGTACCAGTTTTTAACCATGTTTCATTTTGCACTCAGGTTTTCTGTTCACTCAGTTGTGTTAAAGCGCAAGTATATGAAATAAAATGTACTCCTTCCGTCACTACTGCACCAACATAAGTTAATTAACATGTAAGAGATGGTGTCTGAAACTTGGGCTGTTAGTACACTTTAGCCTGCCTCTCTATGTGACGCTCTCAAAACTGTGTGAATATTACACGTTAGAAGGTTCATTTTCTTTTCAAATGATGAAATAGACATCATATTCATTGTTTGAAGTCTCATCCTCTTGAGTTCCATCTTTTCATTCTATCATTGCATGTGTCTTTACTATGACTTAACTTCAGTTATGTTATGTCTCTCAAAGCATGACCTCGGTTAAGCTTCTCTCACCTTGCTTTTACTTTAAATGCCTCTGTTGCAACTGTGGTACGTCAAGAAGTAAGAAGCCCCCCAGGTGGAAAAAAATGTATTTGTTAGGTTCTGAGGTCTCCATTTTTGTGTAACAGGTGCAGCAGATTGCAGTACCTGCCTTGCACACTTCTGAATCTCCATGGTCAGTTTTTCCTGGTGCGACGAGATAAAAACAGGAACCCATAGAGCCACAAAAGTCTTGACTAGCTTATTACACGAGTACTCTGTAGGCTTTACTACATTATTACATGAGTACCTAGTAGTCTTTACAACATTATTACATGAGTACTCTAAATAATCATTAATACAGTAAGGACTGAGTACTCAGTATAGTCATTACCACATTATGACTTGAGAACTCAGTAGTCTTTACTGCAACATTACTTGAGTTCTCTGTAGGTTTTACTACATTATTAAGTGGATATTCAGTAGTCTTTACTGCATTATGACATGAGTACTCAGTAGTGCTTATACATTAAGGAGTGAGTACTCAGTTTAGTTTTTACTGGATTATCATATTAGTACTCAGTAGTCTTTACTGCATTATGACATGAGTACTCAGTAGTCTTTACTACATTATTACATGAGTACTCAGTAGTCTTTACTACATTATTACATGAAGGCACTTCTCCTAATGCACTCCAATGTATGTGCTCTATTGCATCCCAGAATGCAAAGCACACCTGGCTAAAGAGACTGTTAATCTCTAATCTGCCAAGTAGTCTTGGTAGTTTCAAGCACAAACCAACCTCACCGTTGAGGATGCTTGGTTCCTAATTCACTGTGGTCAGACCATTTATCTTAATGGCTTATCTACAAATAAAATTCAATGATTTCTGGTTCTAGTCCACTAAACCCAGTCCATGGAGATTCTCTAAATAATTTATATTCATATAATCTATAATTAGGGAGTTAAATTAAAATATATGGATATTTTATTATTTACTTCATTTAATTCATTAACTGATAACCACTGACCTAATTGCTTGCTTTATTTTAATGAATATTTGTTCATGGACATAAGTTAAAATGTAATTTGATCGATTCACTTTAGTGGAACCAGCATGTTTGTTTGTTTGTTTGACCTGAATGAATAATCAGTTATCAAAAATGCTGGTATTTTTCTAATGATAGTGTAATTGAGCTGCATCATTTTAGCCACCTACTTTCATTATTGCATTCCAGTGAAAAATAAACACATCACACAGTCTCAGGAATCTGTGAGAAACAGTCCGTTTTTACTCTGAAAACTTCTTGACGTCCCACTTTCTGCAAGCGGTTGTTTTGTCTGCATGAACGTGACAGATGTACCTGTTTGCCCCATGCTTTCTCTCCCTTCACAGTCATTCAATGACAAACGTAAAAAGAATTTCATCTTTACACGAAAGTTCCCATTCTACAAGAACAAAGAGGGTGAGCAGGATGGCAGTGATTCAGACCGTAAGTAAGCTCACAGACACACATGTATGTACATGCAGAGGTCAGTGTAGGTCACATGTGAGGTTAAAACGTCAGTTAACAGGGGGTTTAGCATTTCAACGGTAGAGCTTTCTTCTGCTTCCTCTTTTTCCCATGCTGTTTTTGTTGGACCGCAGTCAGAGACGCTGTGGCTCGGATGCTGATCAGTCTGCCGGAGAGAAGCCAAGTCAATGCTGTTCATTTGTGTGATATGTTACCATATGGTAATATTGTGCGACCCAGTTTTCCTTCAGGGATCATTTAGGTTCAATTTCAACAGCCCTAGTTTTATCATGGTGAATTTGGTTCCCCCTGCTGGCTGCTCAGGGTTTGGACAGGGACGCGTCAATGGGCCCACAGCTCCCTCCTTTCACTGCCTTGAACTTTTTGCTCATGTTGCGGCTGTCTTTCTTCTATTCTGGCTCTCTTTGGATGGCCATTAGGACATCCTGGGGATAGGTGATGATGGGTATGGGACAAAGACATTCAGTAAGTTGGTCCAACAGTTTCCTCTTCACTGTTTCCTGTCTGACCTTGTCTCTCTTGTCTGCATTGTTGCATGCTGCATCTGTTGGATTTGTCATGCTTCTCCGTTTGCAGAGTGTTCACCTCTGTTTTGAGCTGGTTACTAAACTCGAGGTTTGGATCACTTTGGGTTAAGTTAAATAGTCACAAGAAATACACGTCATGTAAGGATTTTCTTACAGATTTTTTGTGAACCAGGATTAATCTTTAGGCACGGACATTAATTTAAACTGAGGCATTATTAAGAAGAGTCTCGTATTTTCAGTGGAGCATGGTAGTAAATTAATTAATATACTGCTGCTGAGAGCCCTGGTCTGTTTCGATGCTATTATCAGGTGGTCACATGATAACCAACCATTTGGTTAATCCGAGGGAAGCAGCACAGCCTCACAGGCCTCCTGAAGGCTTTTCACACGCTGGTTAATGAGCATCCAGAGAAGTCCCTGCGTACTGGAACATCCTAAACCTAAATCCTCAGACTGAATAGATGTTTCACATTTTTATAGTTCAACCCATGACTGACCTGTGTCCTCAGATTATGATGTTTAATGCACGTTTGCATGATGCTGGCGTAAACAGTTGAAATGTTTTTGTCTTTGCTTGTGAGCATGTCACTTTGAAGCAGATTTTGGAGCACATCACACTAATGTGTTTTTTTACTGTGAACTTTTCATTCTTTTGGGACAGAGGCAGATATGCAAAGTTTGCCAGTTAGTTGTATTCACTTCATTCCCCTTCAAAGTATCTACTTGGTTTCCAATTTGCTTAGTTGTATCTTCATGTTGATTGAAGTGAAGATTTCATTTCAAACCAATAGGCCCTTCCCCACCAATCGGCTTTAATTTTGGATTCCCATATTTCAAATAGCCCACTATGAGCTTTTCTCACTGAAGCCGTTAGGGACTTTTAAACATCGCAACTGCCCAACAAAAACACATAATTTGCTAAATGTATACAGTGGAGTCACAAAAATATCACATAGCTTACTGTGATATTTAAAAAAATATATATAATCTTTGAATCCAATATTAAGTGTCATATTGTGACCTTTACTAAGTTGGGAAGCTGGAGAAGTTGGTAATACTAAACCGCACAGAGATAAATGCTAAACAGTTGGTGAATTCTTTGGCTTTGACAATTTAGCACATGATCTATTTATCTAGTAGGAGCTGCATCTGGGCCATATTATCAAACTGTTATATAATAAGACATCAGGATGATAGACCAAAAACCACAGAGACATGTGCTGTTTCATATGCTGCCATGCATGTGGCTTCAGCAAGGCATGTTGTCTATGTCACTAATCAGTATTGGTCCAAATACTATAATAATGTCTTCCATTGTGTACCCCACCAGGGAGTCAAGATGAAGTGATTCTCTCATATGAGCCTGTGATGCGGCAAGAAAGTAAGTCTTGATTTCTCACTGAACGTGTCCTCAAAGCCCTCCCTCAACAAACATGTTTTGACCTGTGTCATTCATAGTTCCAAGCAGG